CACACACACACACACACAGTAGCATGAATGACTCACAACAAGGTGGAATTCACCCATGAATTAGACGACCGGTGGTACAAAGTTGACGCAACCAGAGGCACTTGTATATAAAAGGCGAGTCAGCTCCTGGTGGTTCACTTTGCTGCCGCACTGACAAGATGAAACTTTCTGCCTTCTTTGTGCTCATTCCTCTTTCTCAGCTGCGTTTCTGGGAAACTGATTCAAGCCGCTGCAGGAGACGATTAGGCGTTTAGGGCAGTCATGGGCTCTGATAACATAGTCGGTGTCGTAATAAAATCCAGAAGCCCACATTTTTCCTGTTTTGTCGACATTCTACAATTTTCTGCAAATTTAATGTCACTATATCTGCTGTCCAAGTTTCAGACTCATCACTTAACTGATGCATATAAATATCTCATCTTTATGTTGAGCTTTACGTTGTTTTATTTTCACTTTAACTGAAAGCATTAAAAGTCAGTTAAAACTGCTAACTAACATTTCTGCTCTGTCTTCTTGTCCTCTGCAGCCATCAGAGTGCTCTGACTGGTCATGGAGCACTTTCTCCATAACAGCAGCTGTATTTGTGATCGTTGACCTGCTGGTTTGGCTCTGCTGGTTTCTGAGGAACAGGATATTCAATGTGTGCACTCGAGGTTTTGGTGGAGGATCCTCAGAGCAGGAAGAAATAAACTTGGAAAATGTTACCATCAGTAATGGTGACGGACACCTCTGCAACAGCAAAGAGGAGGGAGGAGGAGGAGGGGCTGAAGAGGGCAGAGAACCAGACTGTGACCAACAAAACATAACCAAGTCAAACCCTGACTTTATAAATGATGAGTTAAAAACGAAAAACAATTCAACCCTTAAATTGTAGAAGAAGCTTCTGGGATGAGAGGTGAAAGTCGACTCACTTTCTTTCCAAGCTCTTCGGATCACTTTGCTAAATCCTTTACTCTTCATAACTTTTTTATTTCACTTTTGTTTATTCAACTTACTTATTTACAGAGATTGGTAATCTGATTACTTTTTTCAAGTAACGAGTAAAGTACGGGATTACTATTGCAAAAACGGTAATTAGATTACCGTTACTTTCCCGTAGGAACGCTGCGTTACTGCGTTACCAAAACCGTGATTTTTTTGC